TATTCAAGTATTGCTTGAACAAAAAAAAATCAATCCATAAGATTATTGAACTATTACGGCAATTCAATTACTCGGAGTGTTCCAAACTTATTGACGCATTTTTAATGTTCTTCCATGTTTTTCGTTCTTCTTTTTGTGCACTTAAATGGGCATTTTTAAGTTGAACGACATTCAAAACCGAGCACTTTCTTAATAATTTGTTTAAGACACCTGAATTTTGATTGTTAAATTGATGAAGTAGTGCAGGTAATAAATGCCCATTAATCAACTTATCGTAACGATGATTTCAAGATTCAATTTCAAAATTCGAGATCCACGCGGACTTTTCAAGCAGTTACGAACCTGAATATATGCTTATGATTTCTTTTTGGTCAGTGATCAACCACAGTGGTCTTTCTGTGATCTATCTGAATCGTTAGGTATAAAAATCTGTCGAACCTTAAGTTTGACAGGATTGCAGCAAAGATTTCCAACTCTGCCATATTATCGTCAGGTTGTTGAAATAATCATGAAATTGTGCTATATGATATTTGACATTGTTGTTCAATTTTTCAATGACATTGATACTATTCCATTTGTCAGTGAATAATAACAACAAACCATAAACTTGGTTTTTGTATATCAAGCAATGTCATACGACTGTTTGTGTATTTGGAAAGAAAAAAAATACACTTGATCGGCATAAAGCGTATATTCGACCATTTTTTTCTCTTCTCATCAATCGCATACAATTTCAAGCATATGTGTACATTTTAATGAAAATATTTTGTTAAAATTGTATGTGGGAGTCATTATAGTTCTCATCACATGGTCCCATGATCATTGGGTTGACTTTGATCATGGGTTTGTGGTTTTGTAAACAAGCGTGCGCCCTCGCAATATACGAAAATAAGCTTGTACTCGACTACGTTGGTTATCGGGGAATTTTTTTTGCTATTTCCCTTTTATGTAGCATTACGAGAGACGATGAAGTTGCACACAGCAAATACAAAACACTTGGACTTTTGTCTTACGGAATTCAATGAAATGATTGTTGAAAAGGGCGTAAGAAAGAATAGTTTAACTTTTTCAGCAAGTCAGTTTGATGATAGTCCGGACTAAAAACTAAAGAAAACGGCAGTAACTTGCGGAAGTATTAACATTTGTTGGGTACCATTTGTTATATATGCGCACTAAAAAACAACGAATGTTTTTGTTGGTCTTTTTTTTCGGTTTCGTCGTTGTTTTTTCCTTTCATTACCGTATATTTCTCTTCGACAAAATGTGTGAGAAATGCATAGGTTAAAATCATCATTACACAGGATTATAAACAATTTACGGTTAGAGGATAAGTTTGCCATAATAAATAATAGAAAGAGTAAATAGTATGAATGACAAACAACTTTCTATTCAAGTCTTAGACAATTCTGTACTATTATTCCTCATTCTCTCTCTACTCGCATCGTACGGAATGAATTTCATGAATGAAATTGTAGTATTTAAAATTCCTTTTTCTTAAGCTTCTTCTTTTTTTTCGCATAAATGCTCACAGTCACGTGAAAGTAGTTTGTTTTTGGTCGATTGAGCAAATGATCGAATTCGTATTATCTATATGGTAAAACCTGTAGTTGTTTTCTACTTGAATGTTGATTACACTCAAATGTTATTCAAGAATATTATTTGTTATTCGAAAACACCATGTACAACACAATTGAGCACTTTTGATTTGAAAAAAAAAACTCTCGGGGTACTATTCACAAATATTGTGTTTATTACATGAAAAATATCAATGTAAAAACAATCAATACATAATTAAATTATAAGCGTTATTATAATCGATGGATAACATTAGCTTTTTTTCATCAACATTTTTAAATTTGAATAAAAAAAGGTTTTGAAACCTAACAGAATCTAATGAAGCGATACGTATTTTTTTGGATGTTTTCCGTCATTAATGAGAATTATGAGACATTGTCTTAATTTTCGATTTTGCCGTTATTTGAAATTTTCTTCCAATAAAAAGCACGAGCGATACCTGTTCAATCAACCATTAGAATGGAAAATGAAATGACCCCTAATGAATTGACGTGTGATAAAAAAAAACGTTCATCTGTAATGGAATAATCAAAACAATGTTTATGCTTTCATCGACCGGGATTTAAAAAATCAATCGAACATTAATAATATACTCTTGTATTTACAAAAAATCAATTTTTGACTATTCGTGCATAAAAAAGAGGGAACAATTATTTGCCTTTACTATTAGCACCTAATGAAGAAAAAAAATGTAATTATTAAAATGTAGGCCTTCACATTGAGCGTATCATCTCATTTTCCTATATATTTTTTTTAAATAATGTAACTATTTGCCAAATGTGTATATACGAACATAAGCAAATAATGGTATATCATATGTGCTCCTCTTTTCCGATACATTTCCTCACTTTTATTTTGAGTAAAAAAAAGATCTCATCTCACTCCCTTTTTTATTTAGAGTGATGATTCCAAATCCAAAATTACAGATGCTAAGGTAAACAACGTAATTTTTTTTTAAATTTTGTTTCTATGAATAAACATTGTTCTTTACTTTATATCCATATTATTTTACAACCTTACAATGATTCGAATCATAGGAGTTACAGCTTTTGGGATACAATGAAGTTTGGGCCTCGCACAAATACACGCACACACAGACACCATTGGCTAAAGCGAGACAGTTGATTAACATTCTGCTATTGTTGCTGGTATAACAGTGTATTTTGGCTCCACCCATTTTGCTGTTTTGATTGGCGTACTTTAACAAACTAATCTCTCTATCATCCAATATCACGATGATATTTCTATGAAAGAGAGTTGAATGAGCTTGTACTTTAGTGTTTTTTACGCGAAAAAATATTGTGTGTAACAAAACAAATTCATGAAAATCCAAACGAAAAAAAAAAACACACACACACATCGTCACCGAAAAAAAAAGTGTTTCAGTAAATACTAGTTTACATTGAATTAAATTGAATGTCCGAGAATGAATGGCAAACAAATTTCATTGAAGTGCAACGACATCATATTAAAAAAAGATAGTATGGTATAGTATCCATGGATCCTATTTCCATGTAAAAAAAGAACATACCAACACATCAACGTAACGTGCCAATTGCATTTTGGGATGTATATGAAAACACTATGAATGAAGTTTTTGTGCAATCAGTTTGCTATCCGTATTGTTCACAAAATAAATAATGGATATGGATATACTGTATTCTGGTTATGGTACGAATGAAATTCGCGCTAAACAAGTTTTCGAAATATATATTTGTTTTCGATAGAAATAATTACAATACTTTTTAGATCAATTTCTTTTGGATAGAATTATCGGTTTTTTTAACGGAATCAAAATGTTTTAACAAATATTAATTCAAGTTGACAGCAAGTGGCTACTTTATCAATTTTCTATGTTGCTTCTTGGTTTTTCTTTCAAATTCTCGATTGGTTGAATAGATTCGTTCTTTTTTTTGGTGCTTTGATATGATTATTTGTAGCCTTTTTACAGTGTGCCAAAACAGCGTCGTAGATTTCAGAAGCGACGACGGCAGCTGTTTTCGTTGGTATAATGTTGATTTGGGGCGTTACAAAGTTGTCTTTATTTTTTTTTATTCTGCGAATTGTTTGTTGTCGTTACAGCTACTTCTACTTTTTACTGCTTCGCATACTATGCTACCAAATTCAACATCATTTCAAACAACGATTTTTTTTTCAACTGTTCATTAGTTGTATATAATATATAATTTTTTTTTTTGGTTCATTGAGTCAACTATTTAAAGGTATGAATGATTTATTTGTTCGCAACCACATGCGTGATTTTTCGAAGGGATCTCATCAGACTAAGTTATGTGTCGATATGGCATATCACATACAAATCACTCACATATAAACCAGTAATGAATATGAAACATATACAATTTTTTGAAAATGAAAACCAGTCACACTTATTCTCGAAACACACGCACACACAGAGAAACAGACAGACACAAACGCGCGAGAACGATAACGAGCGAATGAGCCGACAAATGTGTAATTGAAAAAGTGGGCAAATGGCCAAGAGAGTGAGCGAGTCAAGAACAGACACTGTAAACACTGTGTAAAACATTTTTACCCGAAATGAATATAAGTAAAATGCATGCAAGTGACACACGATTGCAATATATACATCTACTCGGTTTGGATTGATATAGCTGTGATGACGATAGTTACGATGCGATGATATACTCAAAAAATATAATAAAAATTTAAGAGTGAGAAAGAAAGAGAGAGAGAGCGCTCAATTTTCTGTTCGTGTCATTCTATAAATCGAACGTATAATAGTTCGACCTCTTTTCCAAAGCCGTGCGCAAAGCAACAGCAGCAGCATAAGAGCAATATATGATTTACAATGAAGAAGTGGCAGATTGTGAACATATAGTATATATTTGGATAGAATGGTATGAATGAGATAGAAAGTGTATGTGTGTGACTGTGCATATATGCATTTTCATGCGAACGTGTATGTGTAATTATATGTGTGTGTGTGTGTGTGTGTTTGTGTGTGAAAGAGAGATGATCATGTGTTTGTACTTAAATAGACATATTGTATTCATAGATTATCGTAGTTTCAGTATGAACCGTGTATAATGGATAGCCAACATAAAGTAGGCAACGACACAAAGACGGTCTCTCTCCTTCTCTCTCTTTCTGTGTGTGTGCGAATCACATACACTGTATATGTGTATAAGCAGCAAGCAATGAGGCTGAGTAAAATAAGCTTTAAAGTAACTCATCCAATATATGCCCCAATCAACACACAGAGCAACAGCAATATCGACAATATATCCAACAACAACATTGAAGTGGAAAAGAAGAAGAACGAATGAAAAGAGGGCAATGCAAAAAGAGAAAAAAATGAAGAATGGAAATGTAGGCTGTGTGTAATTTATATGGGGTTTAATGTTTCAACATTCATGAAGCAGGCAGTAGTAGTCAGTGAACGGTCTTGCTAAACGGATAATATTCAATAGAAACTCGGTTGTTTTTATGTTGTTTTATTCGTTTTTTGGGCATCAATGTGTTTTCTTCTTGACGTGTGTGCATTCGTACTTGGACAGCAACCGTGAGCGCAACACACACTATAAACCCAATTTTTTCCTCATCATCAATTTAGTTCAAATCATTTTAGTTTTACACTCAATTTTGTTTGACTCGTCAATTCTTTCGTTGGATTTTTTTTTCTTCAATGATTTTTCGGGAGTTCTTTTTCCGTCGATTTAAATGTACGGCCGTTGATTCTATATTAAAAAATAAAATTAATGTCATAAAAGTCGTTGATTTGAATTCGTTCTGAAATATTGTTTGTTTGATGATTTCACATATTCAGTTTCATCTGAAGGAAGAGAGAAAGAAACTTGACCATCAATTTCATGCGATAATGTGATTTGTGTTTGTTTTAAAAATATAATATAATTTGACTTCTAAAAATGTGAACTAGAAAAAAAATTATTCGAATATCCACAATTTTGGTCGTCAAATGAATAAACCAACGGCAGTTATTGAAATTAAGTGATTAAAATATGGAAAAATAAGTTGGCATGACATTTATTTGAATCAAGCCTATGTTCTGAAACATAATTAAAAAAAAAATAAATAAAACATGGAACAGTGCAAATCAATTATATATGCAGTGTAGATTAAAAAGAGAAGAAAAAAATCACCCGTGTTTTCTGTGCGTTAGTTTCAAATTATTGAAACAAAAGTAGAAACCAACTAGTAACTAGTAAAAAAGTACATTTAGTAAATTACGATTACAAAATAGCGCCGAACATATTCAATCTGGCGGTCGCTCGACCTTCAATGGCAGTTGGTAGAGGAACAGGAGCCAGTCCTCCTGTGCCGTTGCAAACAACACCAACGAATCCAGGTGAATTTTTATCACTTCTCTGGACAAGAGATGAAACGAGACAATCTGAAACTATTTTTTATTTCGAAAACCGATTCGAATGTGAACCAATTAACTTTTTACCGTTAATAAAAAAATAGTATCTGTATGCGTTAAAAAAGTCCGATTTTTAACCAAATTTCTTCTGTTAATTTTGGATTGAAACTAAATTTGCACCGTTTTTTTTCTGTCTCTCTCTCTCTCTCTCTTTGAATTTCGCGTTAAGTCGCGGCATCCACCCCACATTTAAATCAAAATGTAGCTGCTGCAGCTGCAGCTGCGGCTGCCGCTGCTGCTCATCATCCTCATCCAATATTGGCACCCAGTCCACTGTTTGCATTGCCAACGTTAAATTTTACGGCGTCACAAGTGGCAACCGTTTGTGAAACGCTCGAAGAATCGGGTGATATTGAACGTTTGGCCAGATTTCTATGGAGTTTACCGGTATCATTTCCAAATTTACGTGAACTTGAACATTCAGAAGCTGTATTAAGAGCCAGAGCTATTGTTGCCTATCACACTGGTCAATTTCGGTACGTATATGCGGATGATATTAATTAGATAAGTGATGTGCATTAGAACGCAGTTTTTTTGTTTGATAGTTTTCATTAAAGCACTTTCGTGTGAATTGATTGGATTATATTGCTCTAAAACTACCAAGAAAAAAAAACTCGTATTCGTTTTCAAACCATACTAAATTGAGACCGAACTTATTCGTTGGATACGAGGTTTTCAAGCAGTTTGGAGAATTTAATTTTTTTTTTATTTTTTGAAATGTTGTGCAGAGTGGATTTTAATAAAAGAGTCAATATAATTTATTGGGAGTATATAAAGAGTCAATGATATTAGATCAATGTAGTAGGCAATAATCAATTAAACGGTCAATTTGTCGCCTGATAAATAATGCATAAGTGAAAATCGAATATTTAGAGATTTAGAGAATAATTTTCAGTACATAAAATCAGATCACATTAGTTAAAATATCAATGTAGTGAAACAAAATGAACTAAAATAAATCGTGAAACCCCTGCGTATTCAATTTGTTTTTGTTTATTTTGAAGAATTATTTTTCAATGAATTGTTTGTTTATTTTGTTTTTTGTTCTTTTCTATTTGGGCGACAAAAAAAACTTTGTTTTCGATAAACATACTGAATCATCAGTGAATTATACACAATCCTAGAACGTCATAAATTCACAAAGCATTCACATGGGAAATTGCAAGCGATGTGGCTTGAAGCGCATTATCACGAGGCGGAAAAGTTGCGTGGCCGACCTTTAGGTAACAAAAAAAACAAATCGTGTCAATAGCACAACCAATTGAAAATTGTAGATTGGTCAAATTCTGTTTTTCCAGGCCCTGTCGATAAATATCGTGTGCGTAAGAAGTTTCCATTGCCACGGACGATCTGGGATGGTGAACAAAAGACACACTGCTTTAAAGAGCGTACACGAAGCCTTCTGCGAGAGTGGTATCTGCAAGATCCGTATCCAAATCCAACGAAAAAACGTGAACTGGCTCAGGCAACTGGTTTAACGCCAACGCAAGTAGGAAATTGGTTCAAAAATCGAAGGCAACGTGATCGAGCGGCTGCTGCAAAAAACAGGTAACATTTTTTTCTTTTTCTTCAATTTGCATTTCAGAGATAGAGACAGTGAAAGAAAAGTGAAAAAAAATATATATTTATGAATGAATTTACAACAAGACGTATATATTTACAACCAAATTAGGTGATTGTAATTAACATCGAGAAAGAAAAAAAAAACAAGAAATTTGAATGTTTTTTTAAGAGAATATCTACATGCAAAAATATTAATGAATGATCTAATGGACTCTCTCTCCGCATTAGACAAAACGTATTCAAACGAACCGGAGATAGGGAAATAAAAACAATAAACAGCATAGAATGGATGTTGTTTTTATAAGCAAAAGACGTCGTCTTAAAATGTTCAAAATACAATGAATGGAGTAGTAAATGTAAAGAAACAAACCTGAAAAAAAAACAACAACAACATAATTACCAAACCATTTTCGTTGAGAAACAAAAATGAATGAAAAACTACAACTAAAAATGTAGGCTCTCGTTTATGGTGAATATCCTGTTCGTATGACTATGCAAACAAATTGAATGTACTTTTACATCCATTGCACATTAATCTGTTCCACATTTTAATAATTTCAATGTTGATTTTTTGTTTTTTTTTAACATTCGACAATTTTTCTTGGCTATTTCTTCATTTTATTTGGGAAACTTGAATAAATAAATACATGAACATGTGTGAAGAAGAATAAGAAAAAAACCATGGGTCAAACATTTTTAATAAGCGAGTGTTTGGTTGCTAATTTCAAAGACAGTGTCATTCTGATGATATGACCAATATCATATATAGAATATCTAACCTTAATGAGGTTTCCAATAATTTGTTCGGTGTGATGTAAATCATTATTCTTATTGAATTGCCGTAATGTGAAATCATACATAGAGAGTGAATAAATGTTATGACATATAATTTGATTTTCACAGCTTGCTGCTGCCCAGGCTCTACTCAATTTATAAAAGTCCATATAACAATAAAGGAAATAACGTCATTTTCGATTCGATTTCTTACCCGAAAAAAGACCGTTCGGTTTGAAGATACAATCGGAGAATCGATGCGACAAGGACATATTCGGTGAGAGAGTATAATGAGACCACATGCTGTGTGTCACACACTTTACGCTTTAGCACAACTAACGTTTCCCTTTAATAAATTGATGTTCAGTCGTTCGCATATCTTCTCTTTTTTTTTGTTTGTTTCCCCGTTATTCTCAAGATTTCCTGAAATGATTTTTGCTATATAAAAACCATATTTTGAAATGTGGAAATAATAGAGTGAATTGTTTTAGTGGAAAGAGTTCGCGTAATTTGTACATTAATCACAAATACTTTTCCTTGTTGAAGGTCTCATTTTCCTGACATTTTTTTTTTGTTTTGATGAATATCCATTCATACCTTTTGTATTTCTATGATTCGCATCATATATTTAATATGAACACACACCGTTCAAATAACGCATGCTACAAATAAATTATAATTCAATATATAAGATGTTATTTGAATTACAAGTGGGAGACAATTCATCAATTTTGGAACTTCGAATTTGAATCATATAACTGTAATAACATCAACAGTTCTGCACGCAATTTGAACATTTTCAAAAATGGTGTGATAGAAAAATAATAAAACAGCGTGTTTTTGAGCATAATTGATTGCTAAGGTCATTTAGTTTAATATTATGTTTTGTTGTTTGAGAAAGAACACGAAAAATTCAAGAAAACAAAATCTCCATTTCTTCGGATGGAATGTCTGACAAATTTTTGCATTGTGTGTTTTCGTGGTGAAATTATATTATTTTCATAAAAATTTCTTGTTTTCACGCATTTTCCCCTGCCCTAATGACTGTGAATGAATATAATTTTAGAAAACCTGATGGCAAAAGGAAAAAGTGATTTAGTTTAAATACGTTTCCGGTTAACAAGAAATACAAAGGGAGCAGTGAAACAAACAAAAAATTTAATGAACTCTAATCTCTTGTTTCCATTTGTGGACTTGTGTATTTGTGAACGACTAATCATCGTGTTCGCTTTCCAAAGCATAATTTAAAGAATAAACGGTCAATGGAGTTATTCTGTCATTATTCATATCTACTGGAGAATGATATTTCCATATCGTTACAGTTGAACTGTGAGCTTGGTGTGAATGCTAAACGATTTGTTTAGAGAAATGCCGTCGGCATTCAAATATGAATAAATTTCTGTTTATTTTGATCAAAAATTCAATTCATAAATTATTGCAATTTTTCGTCATTTCTTCAATCTTTTGAAGTTTAAAATTAGTGAGGAATTTTGGAACTGCTTTTTTAAGTTAATTTTTTCCGAGTGGAATCAAAAACACCTTATTAGAATCGAAGTGTGGAAAAGTCTTTTGAATTGCTAGGGATTTTTTCGGGAAAAGTGGAGACCTTTTTTTAAACCGTCTTCAGTTTATTTTTGGGACACCAAATTACTTTTACGTTTTTAAAAAATTGTTGAAATTAACACCCTTCTGGATTGCAACCGTCAGAAGCGTTACAAAATTGGAACGTATTGCATGGATAAGGTTTAAATAAAAAACCAGAGATTATTTCTCAGAGTCATATAGGTGAGGTAGAGCGCTTTGAGGAGCAATAAGGAGCACATCTCATCCCCTGTAAGGAGCAAAGTTTAAATAAATAATTAAAATTAACTTTTAATATTTTACTCCTTACTAAGGAGGAGCCGTGCTCCTCAGTGCTCCTCCGGCTCCAGAGAGCGCTCTACCTCATCTATATGTCTCTGATATAATCTCTGGTTTTTTTATTCATGCAATACGTCCCAGTTTTGTGCTAGGTTTTGTGTCACATTTTATCAAATAAGACCGCGATTAAAAATGAAAGTCAAAACTCTTTTGCTTCATTTAAACAATTCACCACACACAAAAGGTCTACCTCATCTGATTTTTCAATATTATTTCCTTTGATGTGTAGACATAATTTGTTTCATCAATAGATGGTCAAACTCAATAGTTAGCCCTTTCAATATTAGAATCAATACCTTGAAATATGAGCGATTAGAGAAGTTTAATCATATATCTAATTTCTTCATCACTTAAATGTGTAAATTTAAGAAATTCGTTACCAAGAAGCAAAAGAAAATAAGTGTTAGTGAGATTAAAAACACCAACAATATACATGTAATCATTAGTGGACTGTAATTTGATTATTCACACCATTAACGATTTTCAAAAAAAAAATTCAAATCGGTACATTCTCTTTATTATAAAATATATAGGCATCTACCAATTGCAAAAACATTGTCTTCATAACGCAATCATCGTCTTTGTAAGCCGTTTCATTTAAAAATTCATTTTGTATGCAACTGCGTCAACTCCAAATGTCATGATATCAAACGTGCGAAATTTTGAAATATTATTCATAAAAATGAAGAAATGCTGTACACAGTAGCAAAACATGCCGACTCGGCTGTCTTCGCCTTAGCCATTTCCAAATTTATGCTCCACACAATTTTTTCAAACTCCATATCTTCTAAACAAATCTTCATATTCAACTATTATTATTTGGAGTAAAATAAGAGCCATTTCTTCGCTGTAAGAATAAAGCCATTTCTTCGTTTTATTCATGAATAATCTATATTCAATCCACAAAATCATTTTTTTCTCTTAAATTTCAAGACTTTTGATGCTTCATTCCAAATGAAAATTGAAGTAGTATTTTGCATTGTACCAGTTATTTGTTTATGTAATATTTATTTATGATTAATAAAGAGTATCTTCACATGAATGCACTTAACATAAAACGCACACACGATAGACGGTGATTTTCATATGTTCAATTAGTATCCCGCCGTTTGATAAATATATGATTTAAATTTATCAGCATTTTACGTGCATATACAAAAATGCATATCCAGAAGCAATGGCCAACACCTTCTCATTTCTTTGCACTCATTACATTGAATATATCATTAACAAAGAATCGGTTATTTTAATTTTATTTTTATATACCGACTTATCAGCAAACGATCCAAGATATCTTAATAAAAATGTTCAAATCATAAAATGAAATATATAACATAAAGAGTGTTCTTTACTTTGTTGGTGCAACATAAATTATGTGTATGTTTATAAAAAAAAATGAGGCGAATAACAACTATCGTTATGTTCATTTTACTTCATAACGACGTGAGTAGAACAGAGCCTCTCTGTTTGATGTATTTTCATTGAGCTGCTGCCGCTTTTTAAGTCATGTGTGTGTACAAACAGCAGTTGTTAAGCCATTTTCTCCATGCATCCATAATAAATTGAGACACGGAACGAAAAAGAAACAAAACCGTTGAAAAGCAAAATTTGTCGATTGGACAACATTATCTCTCTTTCTCTTCGGTTTAAGTTTATTTTATATGATTTTCTTTATGGTTCCGATTCATTTGAGAAAGAACTTTTAAAAGTCGCACAACAACAGTTTGATATTCAATTTTTCTGCATCAAAAGTCGAAAATCGTTTTTAGTTTGTTCGTATCAAAAGTATAAGCAAGGTGTCAGCTTAAAAACTAACTATTTCAATTCATTAATTATAAAATCATTTATACGCCTTTTTTAAACATACTAACGATGAACACCGACTTATTATGCTCCGACTTTAATAGCTTTAAATAGAATTTTCAGTAAAAGAATAAAAAGAACAACCACCCACATACTTCAAATGATTAATGGAACGAAAAACTTTTGTTCCTTTAAAAGTGAAATTATCTTTGCTCTCGTAAATGCGGACCGATTCGATACTGTTGAAACAATTACAAAATATGGTAAAACGTTCATTTATACAAAAGAAGAAGAAAAAACAACAACGAAAACAAAAACTGATACTTGAATAATCCAAATGGTGATCGATTGTTGTATTAAAATGATGTATTCGTTGCGTCTTTTCAGTCCCTTATTGTATCATCAATCGAATCCATTTCGGAAATAATGTGTGAAGTGTTCGACATGCATTCACAAGTAGGCAATTGACAATATGTCAACATTATTTG